CATGTAATATCGATTAGCGTCTCAAGTCATAACAAAACTCAATAACTGAATGTCAAGTAAAACTTATGTTGAAATTCGTAATGATTTATTGAATTCCTATTCTGAAAAGGTTTAGACTAATTACTGCTTGAAATCTATGCACCTCTTGTCACTTCAAAATATTTTTTATTTACAGTTGAGTATTTTAAACATAAACATTAAACAGAACAACCTTTTCTGTGAAGAATTAGATTCTACTCTAGTCTACATACTCTCATTATCTGTTGCGTATGCACGTAAACAGGTCTATTTGATATACTTGATTATTACGAAACAATGGTGCAAACAGCGACAGGTTTAAGGTCAACAACAACCAATCAAGATCCAGGTTAGCAGAACAAGCTACGGGTCTAACGTGGAGAAATGCGAATACTTTACTTCTACTATCTGAAGTTTGAGTTGATGATGTTGTTCAGAAGAATAACAATGAAAACTCCACAATCGAAACACCCAGCTCAGAGAACCAAATACCACCACAACAATAGCTATGACCTTCAAGTACCGTGGGCGTTTCTGATTTCTGATTGGTTTCTCAAATACTCACTTTCTAAATAAGTCAGTTAATCATCAATCAGTATTAGACTAGACGTGACGACCCAACAGCCTGTGATGATTGCCTCGTGGTTTATTTCAATCGTTCTAATTCATTCTGTGGTTTCTATTCCATTTAGAGATTGTGGTAAGTATATGATTGATTGGTTATTTTTTCTATACCATGGCAGAATAGCTTTAATTTATCCTCATAATAGTTTTTCCATTTAGCCGGAACTTCATTTTATTCGTTTGAATGCAGCTTTGACTGTAGAATATGTTGTGATTAGTAGGAATCATTGAATTGAGTATCCCATATAGAAATTGCAATGACTGACTGACCAATGCATTCCCTAGTAGTCACAAATTGACCGTCATTCAAATGAAACTGAGAGTAGTTGTAGCACTGTGAATCAGATGCATGGTCAGCTATGCTACCAAACAACTGAGATATCTTAACTCTTTTCATCATATCAATAAACAGAACTATTACTTTAGGGTTAAAAATTAAGATATTGATTTTATGAAGCTTGAATTATAGCTAATGTGAGTTCGTGCAGAAAAAACCCTGATAACATACTTTATGCTAACCAGCCTATCTAAACATTGTGATTGATAGGTTGTACTGTAAGATGTCTGTCTGTCTGTACTGTAAGATGGTGGTTGGAGGTATTCGAAAAGAAATCCTGACCTTAGGTTTCCTGCTATCCGGTACTCTTCATCAAGTTGTAGCTGTAATCTTGAGGTCACTGATATTGCTTTGCAGTTTCGACCCCTTGTCACCAAGCCTTATAAAGAGCTATCGAGGAGGCGACTGACCGGCAAGACCTTGGTTTATTTACAGTTGATCGGTCACTGGGTAGTCACCAATGTCATATATGTCAGATCGTTCTTGGTGATGATCGAATTCTACTAGGGAGAATCAGTTCCTCCAAGATTACTAGTATACCTTGCCGACGAAGGGATTATTTCACGGTACACTAATAATAATATATATATATATATATATCAGCGATATATATGTATCCCCAGAATTTAACGGAATCATTGTCTGATCCTACCAGTAGTAGTCATAAACAATATCAGACCAGACCTAGTACAAGTGTATATTATCCAAAATCTTCACACATTGCATAAACAGCAAGTAAGAGTTTGTAAAATACAAAATGTAAGCCGTAAAATAATTTTTATTGATTGGTTGTATCTATAAATATCATTCAAATTTATTGGAGATAGTCTAACCTGTTGACAATATGAGATAATGTCATTATATATTATTGCTAATTATTTTTGTATACTAGGAGCTCAAGTCGGGGACGTATATTTACTGACTGTAAGTGGATGTGACGAAGCACCTTGTGCGTTGCATAAAGGTAAAAATTCTACGATCACAATGGAATTCGTTTCATGTGAGTTATTATTAAGTTACATATTTGATATATTTTATTGAATGCGGGTGAAAGGACCTCCAAACTCCGACTATCGTATATGCACAGAAATTATTGAGAAGTCGTGTTGTTGTAACGCTTGCTTATATATTTCCCGGCTAAATCCTATTGCTTAGTATTCTCTGACCACAATACACTGGACAAGTTCCCAAAATCAAAAACACGGTTGAACAGGAAAAGATTATATTCCAAATAGCAAAGTTAAACGGAAATAAGAAGAGAAAGGTGATGGCGAAGGCGAAGGCCAAAAATAGATACAACGTCAGTTTCTTTAAATCATTTACATGAGAAGCCCCTGGATAGAAATTCACGTGATCGAATGGATTAGATTTAACCAATCAGCACGTAGCTAACAATACGAGAATTTTCTACCCTGTTCTCCACGAATCGATCAGGCGCTGATTGGATAGGAATTTAGCCAATCAGCGCGTAGCAACGTAGTCATGCTTTAATTCCATCTAGGATCCTTACGGAGTGAATATCGTATAAACCTGTTGATCAACGGCTACCATGAGATTGCATCATCTCCTTACTTTACTCCACTGCCTTGTGGATTAGTATTTTGGATCAAAGGCTCAGAGTATGACCCCCTAAGAAAATCAACCCACTCATAATTTAAATAATTTTTGTAGCGCATCAATATTGTTGTTGCTATACAAATAGCTTGGTTACATAAGTTAATCGGAAGGCTTAATCAAATTAAATATGCACGAACACAAGTTTATGTGGAGGCACTAAAATGTAAGTAAGTACAAAGTTGTAGGTTGTAGTTGACTGACTAAGTGAAATGCATTCAAACTAAGTCTCTTTTGTATTATACTACTCTCTCTCTCTTTCTCTTTGTCTTTCTCTTTCTCTCTTGATTACAGTTGACACTGTGGAAAGTGGTAAGATTTCTGTCCATGCAGTGTTTGCCTTGGTATCAATACCATTTCCACTTTCCAATTCGAATTTATGTGACTTTGTCAGCCCAGCATGTCCTTTGGTTCCATCTGTAGATAAATATACATACACATATACTTTGCCTGTGCACGAATCATATCCATCGGTAAGTCGAAATAAACACTATATATATATATAGGTAATGTTCCATCAACTGTGATAAAGTTATGTTGTAAAGTTATCAAGGAGTTTGCTTGATTTGCATTTTAATCTACGCATAGTTTGATGGTCGAAACAATTCGACTATGGTTCCTGATAACCGCACTAGTTATTTCACTTATGGATCGACGACTCCTGCTTCTCGCAGGATTGGAACATGGGACCTTCGGCATTGTAGGCGAACGCCTTACCATCGGACCACTGGGCCGGCCGGCATGCAACGGTGTTAATGTCTAACTCTGATTATTGATCTAGGGATTTCGCGCGACCTCACCCATTTGTCTTTCTTAGTTACTGCCTACCTACACCCGACAGGGTTGAACTCCATGGTTGTGGTCCAGTGCTTCCAGGTTTCTAATGGTGGTCTAACAATCTATTATTACAGACCTATTGATTATGGGAATTATTATTATTATTATTATTATTATTATGTAGTATTTTTATTGCTTTGTTTGTACTATAGTTGACATAATATGTTTATGGTTTTTCTTGGCCTCTCCCCACCCACCCGTTTTTTCTTCTCTAATCTAGGTTTCTTTCAAAATGCGATGGGAATTAAAAGATAGTTTTAATGATGATATATTTTGTGTTGAATTCCCTGTTCAAATCATTTAAATAAAAGTACATTATTAATAGTAGTCATCGTTCTATTAGTAGTAAACATTTGGAGATGATTGTTTTCGTTTGATTCAATGATATGATATGCATTAGGTTTTGGGAATTCTGAGATTTAAGGGTTGGTTGTCAATGAGACCTTCTTCTTCTTCTTCGAATGTTATCAATCAGCTAGAATTCATTACAAATGTCAAGAAGATAGTTCTACTTTAGGAGGCTGGAACTTGGAAAATTACGAAAGCCGTCTTCTACAAGATACAGGTGTTTATTGACAATTTTTTACACCAAATAATTCGGATCCCGTTGACCATGCACCGTCAGCAACAGTCTACATTGAGTGAGAACAAACTAGATTCCAGTGAAGGAAGAAGCACTGGGATTGGATAGGATATACAGTGAGGAGCGCGCCTAATTGCGTCACAAGACAAGCCTTCACTTAGAATCCTTAAGGTTAAATTGAAAGAGGAAGACTAAGGGACACAATACACTGAGAAATGAAGACAGTTATATAGAACTGGAGATAAAGGTCTTCGATAGTGTAGCAGGTTGAAGAATGCTGGTCGGCGGCCTATACTCCATTGCAGGTAACAATTATAAGTAAGTTAGTAAGGAAGCAATGACTATCAAAATTGAAATCTAAATATATTCATCAGTTTTATCTGTCATATCAATGTTCATTGTCAACGCTAATGTATGAAACACTCAATGATGCTGTTCTTATTATTGTCTAAATTCTTTCTTGATTAAATATGTAACAGTTTGTAGCTATTGATTGGTGGTTAGCTTTTTCTCTGTAGAATTAGGCATAAATCCTTTATGGCAATTAATTGCCTGTCATTGAAGTTCCATGTACATTATCTCTAATTGTTTGAGTTTCGATATGGAAAGCATTTGACTGTGATTTTATATTCCTTATAAATTTCTTATTTATAGTGTATTTTCTTGAAACGCATCTAATCTTTTTTATTACCACAAATCCCGTTATTACCTCTGTCTGCTATTCTAGGGTTTGACTTGAAAATGTCATTTCGTTTTGCTAATGAGATATAACAGCTTGAACCGTTTTACATAAGTGTAACAGGTTTTATGTTACGTATAACTGAATGACTGCTTCAGTAATCTATAAAGTATTGAATTTGTTTTCATACAATACCTTTCGATTTTTAATTGTTCTTCAAATGATTTCCTCCATTCATGCTATTCCGTCAGTCAGTTACAACGCGCAGAACTTCGTACATACGTACATTAGTTCAGGTTGCCATACCATATTAGCACAGAGTCACATTTGTCCGTTCAAATCTCATAGTGGTAGAGTTAGCAGAAGTATCAGCGGTAATCGAAAAAATTAGGGTTCGAAGAAATTATTCAAGAAGTATAATTGAGTGAGATAAGTTTAGAAAGAAAAAGGTAGAGGTGATGAGGAATTCAGAAGATTAGAATTTGAGAGAACACAAAGAGTGGATGCACCTGCGCCATTGCAAACGGTTTTGAGTCACGTGATTCAAGGTCTCTAACCATTGGTGACTTTCGTCTCGCGGACCCCGACCACGTAGTCTACATCTACCAACATGACTCAGTACACTTGTCACTGACTTCATGGATTTCTGCCACGTTTTGGTTTGGACGCTCCTTGCTTCTTTCAACCTTCTGCTACACTACGAAACATTGCTCGACGAGGCAGTCGGCGGCTGGGCATACGTAATACATGTCCCAACCACTTCAACTGATGAAGTTTCACTACTTCATCTATTGATCAGCCATGCTTCCCTAGGACCCGTTTCGTAATAACAGCATTGCTTACTCAGTTGTCCCAGAATACGCGATTAATGTTTCGAGGAAATCTACAATCGTATACTAATAATTCACGAATATTCTCAACTCTTACTGGCCATGTTTCTTATCTGTAGTTTGTAACGTAGCGAACTGCTGTTCAGTCACTCGTCCTTTGATTAGTAAACGGATATCTCGCCTACGTGATAAGTGACGCAAGTTGGCGAAAGCCAATCGAGTCCTCTCTATCCATGCTGAGATTTCGCCAGTTACCAGGTCATCAGCACTGATGAGACTTTCCACATAACTCAAGCGGTCAACATGTTCAACCACTTCACTTCCTATAATTCATGCTATTCAAATGAATTGAACAGAATGCAGTAGTAGTAGTAGTGTAGTGAACGAGAACACAGGTGGGGCAACCGAATTGTATTTAGCGAAAATTACAGAGTTACTCAGTGAAATCGGAAAACCATATCGTAAATCGTTCATTTGCAAAATATCAGTCCATCATATCGAACTGGACTGTTCCTGTTGCAAAACATCAATCCATTATCACTATTCATGCGTTTCATACATATTCCATTATGTTTTAACTCTTCCTTTTTTGATCTTCCTCCATCTTCTGCTGCCAGACATTACGTTGACACTCACGTCATATACTACTTATAAGTAGCTCGCACCACAGTAGTAGTAGTAGTAGTAGTAATAATAATTGGATACAATTAATTACTGACAGACAGACAGATACAACGCAGAACTTCGTACATAAGTACATCAGTTCAGGTTACCATGCCCAATCAGCACAGAGACGCAAATGTCAATTCAAATCGAAGAGTGATAGCAATAATAGAAGTATTAGCAGTAATGGAGAAGATTAGGGAGCAAAGACATTATTCAAAAAGTATAATTCAGTGAGATAACTTTAGAAGGAGAAAGATAGAGATTATTATGAGTAATTCAGAAGGTTAGAATTTCCTACAACACAAAGATTGGATACACCTGCACCACTACAAACAATTCTAAGCCATGTCATTCAAGCTCTCTAACCATTAGTGACTTTTAATGACTATTCCTGTCAATTAATTAATTAATTAATTACTGAGTAAATTATAAATTGATTCATGTTACTTATTATTGCTCCATATATATATATATATATATATGAAAATTTCCTCTCCTTAAGACGTAAAAATCAACAATGATCATTCTATACAAACTGTAAAAAAAATTCCCAATAAAAATAAGCAAACTTTTTTTCTATTGATACAAATTTTATATATTTTTATCTATGAAATATTAGTAATAATAATAATAATAATAATAATAATAATAATAATAATAATAATAATAGTTTCGATTCACCACCTATCATCAGTACAGTTTACATTGTTATTAGACATGTGAGATTGATTTACAAATATGAGCTATGTTAATTTCATAAGTTAGAATATATATATATATATATATATATGTATGTATAGAAGTTGAACTTCACAACTTTAGCCTACACAATATGGTTTTGGTTGTCTACTATGGTTTAGTCTCAATGACACAAAGAAGAAGGAGAAGTAGAAGAAGAAAAGCAGAAATCAATAAAAAAATCAATAAAATATTACCCTAAACAAACAAAGAGAAATAATAATAATTTATTATTTTTTTTATTAACCATTAACCATTAACCATTTTTTGAACAATAGCACCAGGAAAACTATAAAGAAATAAGAAAACAATTAAACAAACTAAAAATATAACAAAAATTTTAATTAATATCCATTTTAAACGATATTTAATTAAATATCGAAGTGTATTCAATGGTCCAAGAAATTTCATGAATGAACCATCTGGTCGACTGAAATAAAAAACAAGAAAAAAATAAGTAAATTTAATGATTATCATTAAGAGAAAGCAAAATGTCATAAAATCAATGAAGTCAATCAGTCAGTTAGTTGCAACGTAGAACTTTCGTACGTATATACATAAGTTCATGTTGCCATATCACCACATTATTAGCACACAGAGATGTAAATGTCAAATCAAATACCATAGTGATAGGAAAATAGTAGAGGTATTAATGGTAATGAAGAAGACGTCTAGGGTTTGAAGATATTATTCAAGAAGTATAATTCAGTGAGAAAAGTTTAGAGAGTGGAAACTAGAGGTGTTGAAGAATCCAGAAGATTAGGATTTGAGAGAACTCAAAGAATGGATGCACCTGTGCCATTGCAAACGATTTTGAGCCATGTCGTTCAAGGTCTCTAACCATTGGTGACTTTCGTCTCGCGGACACCAATCAGGTAGTCTACATCTACCAACATGACTCAGTCCACTTGACAGCTACTTCATGAATATTTGGCATGTTTTGGTTTGGCCGCACCTAGTTTTCTTCCAACCTACTCCTACACCACAAAACATAGCTCGTCGAGGCAGTCGGTGGTTAAGCATACGCAGCACATGTCCCAACCACCTCAACTGATGAAGTTTCACTACTTCATCTATTGATTTGCCATCCTTACCTAGTACTCGTTTCCTAACGACAGCATTGCTTACTCGGTTGTCTCAGGATATACGAGCAATGCTTCTTAAACATCTATGATCAAATACTAGTAACCTACGAACATCTTTTACTCTTAACGGCCATGTTTCATAGCCACATAGGAGAACGGAGTGAACTGCTGCGCAGTACAAACGTCCTTTGGTTAGCGAACGGATATCACGTCTACGCCATAAGTGACGCAGGTTGGCAAAAGCCAATCTAGCTTTTTGTATCCGAGCTGAGATTTCGTCAGTCACCAGGCTATCAGCGCTGATGAGACTCCCCAGATAAGTGAAGTGTTCAACATGCTCGATTACTTCACTCCCTATCACTAGTTCAGGTGCCGATGCAACCCAATCTTGAAGAAACATTTTGAATTTCGAGGGTGAGAACCGCATCCCGAACATCAATGAAAATCAAAATAGTACGCGAACAAATCGAAGAAGTTAGTTAGTTAGTTAGAGAGGAGGAGATTCATTGGAAAAAAAATGACCAAAACTTATTGTAAAACAAATTCGGATTAGTGCAGAACTTCTTCTCACATGATGCATAAATATCCACAATTTCAGTAGTAGGTCTTGAATTTGTTTTCGATTTTAGTCTAGCACACAAAATGTTTACTTAACTGTTTGAACCATTGAACAATGATTCAGTTGATGTGATATAAAAATGTAGGATTTAATTTGTCCTACAGATGTAATTATTCTAGAACTGTAAACGTACACAGAGTCTATGGGAAAGCTATAATCAGAACAAGATCAACTTTTGTTTTAAACTTTATCTGTTTCTAAACATAAAAACAATTAGATTAGTACAATAAATAAGGAAATTACAATTATCAGTAAGTAAGACGAGTAAACATACCGACCAATATAGCGTGTCTTATGGAAATGATGAGTACAGTTATGAGTCACATCAATAATAATAATAAGATAATAATGTCCTTCAATTAGTAGGTCATTTACAATTAAAGAAAGTTTACAGACACGTCAGATCAGATCAAGTGATGGGCGCTTAAACTACAATCTGATTGGTTAGTTATGACATAACTACAATTAGTTATGGGGAAATAACTAACATCAATGAACATTCAAGCTAATTAGATAATGAGATTAGTTTGTAGTGTTTTGAAAAATGTCATAAATAATAGTTCTATAATTCGTTGGTTAGTTTGTCAAAATTGATAATTTAAACGAAGTCCTATCGAGAAACCATGACCAGAGGTATTCATTCATTCAACTAGGCCTAATGTGAAGTATTGATTCCTAACTCTGGTTTAAAGAAGTAACTCTAGGTCTGGGTTACAAGTATACAGTGCTGAAGAGCTTCGTTTTAGTATACACTAGCTTCCCATTACTTCTTGTTTTCCAATGATGGTTTAACAGATATCTATCAGTAACTTAAATTATAAAATCTAACAATCTCCATAAACCTTTTTTACTAAATACACGATATTGTCTATTAATTAATCAGTAGTGATCAGTCACTGATCAGTCACTCAATCCTATCGATAGCCATTTACGATTACAATAGATCTTTGCTCTCATTGTAGATTTAAATACTGCACAGTGAGTGAGTGAGTGTATCAATTCCCACAATGTTTGTGTGTACAAGTGAAAATGAATATGAAATGTTGTAATTCTAGGGTTAAAATCCAAATGATGATGTTGCTAATCATAGTAATCATCATTTACACACAATTTCAAATAGTTTTTTTTTAAATAGACAGTTATGATTTATTTATGTAATCTTGATAATTACTACATACAAGTTGTATAATAATTAGTAATTTAACTTAGATAAAAATTATTGAATCATATAGAAGAAATATGTGAATAATAATAATAATAAATTGTACTAATACTTTCATTTTAATTGATTAAAACTAAATTTAGTGTTTAATTTTCAATGAATAATTCATTCCAAACAACACAGGTGACTAGGATTGCTATACATGCCATGAGTATGCATGTATGTATTTACATGTATGTGTTAGAGGTATAGATGTCTATGTTCAATGTACAATCTTATCATAGAGATGTTTGAAATTATCTGATAAATTTTTAACCTAATAATAATAATAGTGGTATTAATAATAAGTAATAGTAATAATTAACCATATATTTGTGTAGTTATAACTGACAGATTGATTTTACATTCAGAGAATTCAATAGTCAATTTTTATCTATTGAATTGTCGTGTTATTGATTGATTGATTGATTGATTTTGTAGAAAAAAACAGAAATAATCGATCGATAAGTTAATTAAACACATCATAATTATTGATTAAAACGAAAAATAGAATTTTTATTTAATAAAATATGAAAGTGTAACAAGTTAAAATAGTAGCAGGGAAAATAAAGCAACTTCTCACAAATTGTGATAAATAAAGAAAGCTAATTAAAATAGTTTCAATTAACTATCTTCTTATTGAAGGGTGAATTCTGAATATGGTTTTAAATTATCGTTTGTTTGAATGAGGCTGATAAAGGGTTCAAACTTATTGATTGTTTCTAGATTGCAGATAATACTTGATTGACAAGTATCAACTAGTAGAAAATCTAATGAGCCCAAGATTTCTTGGTAAATAATAACATCTCATGTGTTACTTGTAAACTAGCTAATGAGAATAGGAACAATATTCGAGTGAATTCATTTTTTGTTTTCTGTTTAAATCAGTTTCTGGTTAGCGTTTCTTTTTAGCTAGTTAGTTTTCTATGGGATGGGGTCACTAACCCCCATGCTCAACCCTCCTCTTTTATACGAGCATGGGACTAGCAGTAACCTCATAAGGGCTTTAGGCAGACATCAAAGGAATAAATAGCAGTTGGGTAGGAATGCAAAAGAAAGTCTATGACAGAGTAGGTTGGAGAATGTTGATCAACAGTCATGACTGTCAAACTCATTATTATTATTAGCGATCGTGATATGCGATAGAGAACCCCAATAACAATGGCCCCGGGGAATATTAGAAAACAACCACCAGTATCAATGAAATCGGTCACTGCCAACAAATTTTGTATATGGACTGTTAGCTATACTTGTCAAAGCACTGCCAAGCCATCACAATCTCCACAGAGGACCTCTCGTCTCATAGGAAACCTTCAAGTCTATTTGGTAATAAAGCCTATGGTATATACAACTCCAAACAACTTTCAATCAAAACCAAAATCACGATTTTCAATACAAATGTCAAGACAGTTCTACTGTATGGAGCGGAAACATGGAGAACTACCAAAGCCATCATCCAGAAGATACAAGTGTTTATTAACAGCTGTCTACACAAAATACTTCGGATTCGTTGGTCAGACACGATCAGCAACAACGTACTGTGGGTAAGAACAAACCAGATTCGAGTGGAGGAAGAAATCAAGAAGAAGCTGTGGAAGTGGATAGGACATACATTGCCGCAAACACCCACCTGCGTCACAAGACAAGCCCTCACATGGAACCCTCAAGGCAAAAGGAAAAGAGGAAGGCCAAGAAACACATTATGCCGAGAAACAGAGAAAGATATGAGAGGGATGAACAAACATTGGACAGAACTGGAAAGGGAGGTGCAGTACAGAGTTGACTGGAGAAAACTGGTTGGCGGCCTATGCTCCATCGGGGTTAAGTAAGTACGTAAGTAAGTAAGTAAGTAATATACATCGTATGGCATAGGATAGTAATAAGTGCATTCCAGCTTAATGCATATGGTCTCAAACATTCTTATTATTCCTTTATCTCATGTCGAGTGATAGTGTTTTCGCAATAGTGAAAATTTCATTTTTCGATTATATAGGATCTGAGTTAGGGGTTGTATCCCTTGAAATACGATACTAACCGAACTATATAGAGGTTAAATAGAGAGGCACAGAAGAGTTTTACCCAGATGCTATGTTATCCACTAATTACAGATGGTTGAAAAAATGAATGCTATCAGAATGGGGTTTAGTAACTGAACTGGCATTTAAGGATACAGAGACAAGCGTGTCCTCTATATGTAGACTATCATACCTAGTAGAGCTACTTATCAAACTAAATCCGTATTTGGCTTTCGGGTTTCACTTCATTTCACTCTGCTTGCATTCCTTCCATTCTAAAATCTGTCTGCTTAAATGAATGCACGAAATAAATTCATCCACGGAACCACATTTGGCTTCTTAAAACTGCCGTCACACAAACAGGGTTCGTTTAAATATGACATATTGGGGAGATTTATTTCATAGTATGTTTAATTGTTTATAAATATCAAAATCAGGATGCAACCACAAAAGTGGTGAGCTATAAACTAGATTCAACGAAGCCATAAAATGTTGTACGGCAACTAGGATCCGATGCAGATGTAAGGGTGTGGATCGGCAAAGCAAGGGCTGCATTTCTACAATTGAACAACATCTGTAACTCCAAACAAATATCAATCAACACTAAAATCACAATTTTCAATACAAATGTCAAAACAATTCTACTGTATGTGGGGGGAAACTTGGAGAACTACGAAAGCTATCATTCAGAAGATACAAGAATTCATTAACAGTTGTCTACGTGAAATACTTCGGATCCGTTGATCAGACACTATGAGCAACAACCTACTCTGGGAGAGAACAAACCAAATTTCAGTGGAGGAGGAAATCAAGAAGAAACGATGGAAGTGGATTGGGTATACATTGAGGAAATCAATGAACTGTGTCATGAGGCAAGCCGTGACTTGGAACCCTCAAGATTAAAGGAAAAGAGGAATACCAAAAAACACATTACATCGAGAACCGGAGACAGACATGAAAAGAATGGACAATAATAGTACAGAACTGTAGTCGAAGGCCGAGGACAGCATAGGTTGGAGAATGCTGGCCGGTGACCTATGTATGCTCCATTGTGGATAACAGGAGCAATTAAGTAAGTAAGTAACTAGGAAAAGGCAATTATTTATAGTCAATCAAACAACTTGAAAACACATATCATTCAAAAAACATACTCTGGTTTTGGCAGTCCATTAGGTTCTTCACGACCTAAACCAACAGGATTACTTTCAGCTTCAGCACTGCTCAACATTTCAAACTGACATTCAATTTTACCCTAAAAAAATCAAATAGTGAGGAAAAAAAGAAAGGTATGTTATTAAAACGGTATTAACAAAGGGAATAGACAAAGAATTAGCAACTAAAATCCATACTCGTGAGTACAATCCTCTAGCTAATAAGATAACATGTTAACATTTAA